CCTACAACTACAGCTACAACAACAAGGGCCACAGCTGGAACTACAACTACAACCACCACAACACTACACAACACAACTACAACTACAAACAACAACTGCAACTACAACTACACTTACAACTACACTTGCAACTACACTTGCAACTGCGCTTGCAACTGCGCTTACAGCTACACTTACAACTACATTTGCAACTACACTTACAACTACACTTACAACTACACTTGCAACTACACTTACAAATGCGCTTACACTTCCAACTACATTCAACTGCAACTGCAGCTGCAGCTGCAGCTGCAACTACACTACACCGCGCTACACTGCGCTACACTGCGCTACAATTCACCACACTGCACGACACTGCACTACACTACATTGCGCTACACTGCACTACACTGCACTACACTGCACTACACTGCACTACACTGCACTGCACTACACTGCACTACACTGCACCACACTGCACTACAACTACTACAGCTACAGCTACAGCTACAGCTAAATCTACCACTACACTACATTACACTACATTACGGTACAGCTGCCCTACACCACAACTACAATTACAATTACAATTGCAGCTGCAACATGTACAACTACAGTTACACTACGCTGCACTACGCTACACTCCGCTGCACTACGCTACACTACGCTACACTACACTACCACTTCCACTATCACTACCAGCATCACTATCACTATCACTACCACAACAACAACAGCAACAACAACAACTACTACTACAACTGCAGCTGCAAGTGCAACTACAACTACGCGACTACCTACACACGACTACCTACACTACCTACACTACTACCTACACTACTACCTACACTACTACCCATACTACTACCTACACTACTACCTACACTACTGCCTACACTACTACCTACACTATTACCTGCACTACTACCAACACTACTACCTTCACTGCTACCTACACTACTACCTACACTACTGCCTACACTACTACCTACACTATGACCTGCACTACTACCAACACTAGTACCTACACTACTGCCTACAATACTACCTACACTATTGCTTGCACTACTACCAACACAACTACCTACACAACTACCTACACAACTACCTACACTACCACCTACACTACATCCAGCAGTTGTGGGTGAGGTGACCACTATTGGCCACTGCAACCACTCCAAAAAGCACAACTCCAACCATGTCATGAAACGACGCAGATTCGAGGCAAGCACCCGTGACAGAAGCGATCGTGGAACTTGAGACGATCGCGGTCGTACATGACACTGCAAACTGCATCTCAAGGTGGCGGGAAGAAGTTGGTCTTGTGAAGAAGACAGACTATTGGGTGATACTGCGATTCTGCTCATGGCTTTATTGTGTGCGCGGGCTGGCTTTTGCTCCTTCCTTCTCAGGTGATGTAATCAGTGCTTTTCAGTGCAATGATATTTTCCCATTAGGTTGCG